TCAACTGTGAGTATAAATGTCAATTTTAAATAAAAATGTGAAATTTAAGCAATGTATAAAAAAGAAAACACATGACTCATTATTGGAAGAATTTTGGTAAAAATAATATCAATTCCTTGTATGGATTGAAGATCATGTCTTAGTCATCAGTGAATCTTCTTTGAAAAACTCATTAATAGAATCATAACTTTATTTATAGAGTGATTGACACTATAAAAATAAGTAATCTATTAAAACGTGAGTTTATGAAAATCTATCGGTACTATCATAGTTTTATTTGTATAATGATCCATATTTTAAAAATATTTCATATATAAAAAAATGGTTAAATAAATGTGTTTCGATATAAAAAATGATTATATAAATAAAAGTAGTTTCCCTTACTTAAAAAAAATTATTAAAAAATCTAAATGTAAATATATAAGTCTTATATTAAATAAAATAATATCTATAACCTAATATTTTAAAATTTTAAATTAAAAATTATATTAATATCTTGTACAGATAATTAAATTCATATCTTATTTATATTATCACTCATATGAATCCCCTGAAATGATCCATTAAAATATATTCTTATTCTTTTAACATCTAAATATAACCCCCCCATTAGTCAAATCAAATGTACTTGAGAGTCATCTTTGTCGTAACAATCTCCAAAACCCAACCCTTGGATTTTCGATCCCCAGTCAAACACCTGTCATTTTGTTATTGTGGAAACCCATCCTAACTCCCCACTACTGTTAGGTCTCGTCGGAATATAGTTATGTAAATTTTTGTATTATGTACCGATTAATTATTATCTTTTATTAGATAAATTAAAACTTACTTTTATATATTTATTATCTTAAGAAAATTAATTAATTAAATATAAAAAATAAAAAATCATAAATTTATTTTTCATATTTAACATCAAATTATTTTAATCTAGTAATTTAAAATAATAATATATTTTAATTATTGAATACAAAAATGAGTAATAAATTTTAATTTGTACCTTTTTAAATAATTAGATATAGTTACATAGTTATAATCTTAATAAAATATATTATTAAAAATTATAATATATTTTATTTTTTAAAATAATTTTTATATTAAAAAGAGCACACGTTGGGTTGACGAATTAAGTACATAATTGAGGACACATTTTTGTCCGCACCTTTATATATATATATTTTCATCTCATTTATTTGAAAAAGACAATAAAATCTTAATTTTATAGAATAAAATGATCTAGAGCATATTGTGAGTATTTCGGAATGAAAATTTTGAATGAATTTGGAAATTTTTTTAAGTTCTGAATTATAAAATGTATAATATAAATTTATCATTTTAGAAAAATTAATATGAAAAATTTGCAGATAGTTAAATCCATAAATAGTTTTTCATATGTATGATTTAAATTTTGGATTTATTCTTTTAGAAACTTTTTATAATGAGTTTTTTTAAAATATTTTAAAATGACCTTTTTGAAAGTTTTTCAGAAATATAGGTTTGGAAAGTTTATTTAAGTTAAATGCAATATTATCCTTTTATATGAGTATGAGATGTAAGATGAAAATATGGGATGCAGGAAGAAAAAACCTCAGTACAGATTGATATGGTGATTTGTTTAGGCTTTGGGCTTATAAAGTGCTGGGCCAAGCCCATTTCCCTAGTAAATCACATTTTAATTGCCCAAGTGAAATAAATGGGTGAACCTCATTCCGCAACAATTTCTCCTCTACCCATTAAATCCCCTTCAATAGGTCTTTATAGCTATAATTTGTTGGAAACAATATAATCAAATTAAAACATAAGAACAATCTCTGTAACCATTTTTTATTATACTCTCTTCTTCTATATGATCAAATACATAATTAATAAATATCTAATAATGTTAACAACAATAATAATCATAATAATTTATAATAACATAATTAAATAAAAAATAATATTTAGTAATTGAAATGATTTCTAAGTCACTAAAGATTAATAAAATAAAAGTTAATATATAAAAATTAACAGCATGTATCATCTTTTTAGTTTTATAGTTTTGAAATTATATAATTATTTTAAATATTTTTTAATTTCAATCAAAATTTTAAGTTAATAATAATATTCTTTATTAATAATTATATAACTGTTGAACGTCTTGAATAAAATCTATAACTGTAATAAGATTTAATATAAAAAATTAGTTAATCGGGTAATATTTTTTTTAATCTCATATTATAAAGAGGGTGTGATGTGAGAATTTGTCATGTAATTTATTTTAGAATTAAATATGTTTTTAACTAATAATAACAACATGTTCTAATTGATTATTTGGTATACATCTTTGTTAATTTATTATTTATAATGTAAAAATTATGACGGTAAAAAAAATCTAAATTTAAAAAAAAATCAAAATTTTAAATTATCAACAATAAATAATTTATAATCGAAGAATTATGCAATTTTAACTCTCCATTTATCTAAAATAAATAAGAACACGATATTATCATTAACGAGCTAAATATATTTATAAAGTTGTTTTCTTTTATAATTATACATAATAGCAGCATTAAGTATATTATTTTAAAAAAAATTAATTGAATTAAACATCTTTTAATATTAGTGTTTAAGAATACAAATTTCTAATAATTTAGTATTTCTAAGCTCTTTTTAAAATATATTGTAGTTAAAAATATTTGTTAAAACTAAATTTCAAAATTTGATAATAATAATAATAATAATATCATTTCATATAAATTGTTATAATTAAGAAATCTTAAAAAAATATTTTAAAAATTAAATTAGAATAAAAATTCAAATATTTTTCTATAAATATGAATATTTTTTTATTATGATACAATTTAGTTTGCACCACAATAAAATGTAATTATTATATAAAATAAATATTTCATATATTTACCTTTTTAGTTATATTTAGATAAAATAAGTAATTTAAAATATAAGTAATGTATTTAGTTAATTAGATAATCATATGATTAACTTTATGTATATGTATTATTTTCTAAAATGTATTAACACTATCTAAGTTACGGTAATAGTTAAAAAAAATAAAAGGAAAATCACTTAAAACTTGTAATTATATTATATTATTATACAATCAATATTCAGTTATATTATGTATTGTTAAAAAAAACACATTAATCTTCTTGATTAATATTTTACAATTTAGAAAAATAAAATAATATTAAATTAAATTTAAGTACAAATTTCATTTAAGATTAAAAAAATTTTAGTGTTTAGTAATATTTTTCATATATTTTCATCATTTTAAAACTTTCTACCAGCATTAATATAGTGAACCGAAACTGCGTGTATATGGTGCGTTGAATAAGCTATTGACTTAGAAACACAATTATCTTGTGACATGCAATGCATCTATGTAATTGTGTGTGGGGACCCTTCTAAAATAATAAATAAAACTACTACTATTAAAAAAAATTATATTTGATTTTGATTTATTAAGTTGATCAATTTTATCCTTTAATTTTTTAAAATATATAATTTTAAATTTTTATATTTGACTTAATGATTTTTCATCTTAACAGACAACAAATTAAATATGATTTTCATAATTTTTATATTTAAATTTGATATTTAGTAAAATTTTTTATTATTATAAAATTAATAAAAGACTAAATTTATATATTTTTAAAATTTAAAAATAAATTTTGTTATAATATGAATAGGAAAACTATTTTTTACTAAAGGATACAAAATATATTTAATCCTAAAAAATGTTATATTTATTTATTTATTTATTTTTACTTTATCTTATATTTTACAGTATTTTAAATAAATATGAACATAAGAAAATGCAATCATAAAATTTAAACGTCTTTTGTGAGAAAAAAACTCAAATATTCTTGATATATTGCATGGTTCTTCAAATCGGATTGTATGAATTTAAGATTTAAAGATTCTATACAATATTAAATCAGAATTAACAAGTTTAATAAAATAATATATTTTAATAATATAATGATATAATAATATATTAAATTTAAAATAGATTTATTATAATATAATAATAATTTTAATCTAATATAAATATTATTTAAAAAAATATTATATAATAATAATAATAATTATAATATATAAATAAAAATAACATATATAAATATATAATCAAATATTTAGAATACAAAACAATTAAAGAAAAAAATTTATCATTACACCTAATTTAAAACAAATTAAAAAAAGTTACATCATATCTTTTATTTTATCTAACTTCAAATTTTATATATTCTATTTTATTTTATTTTATTTCAAAACATAAATATTAAACCCAATAATAATTCACTCCACTCACTAAATTAACTTACAAAATTAAGAGACTATAATTCTTAATAAATGGATTTGCTTAATAAATAAAGAGTAAAATAAAAATAAAAATTATACATTTCTTCTTAATGTCAAAACTACTTTTCCAATTACGAAAACATTTATTATTATTAATAATGAAATATGAAAAAATTAATTGAAGGTAAGTTTTGTTCATATTATTAATTTAATATGTTATTTGTATTATATTAATAATGAATATTTTTTTCTAGTCTCACCTAAATCATATAACAAACATCGAAAAATAATTTTGGTTATTTAAGAAATTTTGAAGACGAGTATATATAATTGTTAACGAAATCGATTCCATTTCATTAATTTTCAATAATAACGATTAAACAACTTTTGAATAAGAAACTACAAGTTTAAGAAAATACATCCTAAATTTTATATTTTTCAATAAATTTAATTAAAAACAGAGGCTATTGGAAAAATATTTCTTATAACATATTTTTTTGTTTATTTTTCTTAAAACACAAAAAAATCTCATGTTTCAACAATGCTGTTTCAAATGTTAATGTCAACTTTAAAGAAATTCACTAAAAGTAGAATTAGGTGAGAAAAATAAAAGAAGAGAAGTTAATGAGTAAAATAGAGTTGAAAAAATAAAAATAAAAGATGGTTGAATACAGAGAAGAATAGGGATGTGAGGGAAGAAATTGATGTTGGTATAGGAAGAGGTGAGAAAGAGAGAGACAACAGTCTCTCACCACAAAGGAGGCTGAGACCAAGAGAGCAAGCAACTACACACTGTAGCTCTCACCATCTCTTCCACTCCTAACTATTCAGATCCTCGTCTTCCTCTTCAAACGTTCACGGTTCCTCTTTCCTCTTCGGCGATTGTTAGAAGAATATAAGAAAGCTTGTTTGATGGAACAGGTTAGTTTTTCGCTACGTTTAGAAGCTTCAGTTTCAGTTTCGGTTCTTCTTATAAATACGAAATATCCGTCAGTTCTTTTCCTCTAACCTGTGTATGTGGATTTTTGCAGTACGAGAAGGTTGAGAAGATAGGTGAAGGAGCCTACGGCGTCGTTTACAAGGCTCGTGACCGCATCACAAACGAGACCATCGCATTGAAGAAGATTCGCCTGGAGCAGGAGGATGAGGGGGTTCCGAGCACCGCCATTCGAGAGATTTCTCTCTTGAAAGAAATGCAGCACCGGAACATTGTTAGGTATATATCGGCAATATTCATGCATTTGTCTCAGGAATGTGTTGGTCGTCATTTGTGCAATTCATATGCGGAGGAAGAATATTATATGGCCCTAGAGATAGAAATTAGAAAATTAGGAAGATTATTGTTCCCTGTGAGTCTCAATGTCTCATTTTAGTGTTCATTGTGTGTTGGTTGGTTCTGCTTAGAGCACCAATGTTGAATAGTTTAATCAAGAATTTTAGTTATTATAGATGACAGAAGTTAGCTAGGAATCTGTGATTATTTCGGCATGGCTAAACTTGCGTAGAATGATGTTGCTGATAATTTGTGCCTCTAGTAATTGGACTGCATATAGACACAATGATACCATTATCGTGTTACATTTACGGTTTTGTCTGTGCCTTGTGACAAAATCTGTTTTTGATACTCTAATTCCTTTCTATTAATGTTAATATTTGGTCAACTGGTAAAGGTGTCTGATATACTGTCTGGCAAACTATAGAACCGTGAATTGTTCATTTTGACATTAGCATGCGTCAGTGGTGTGTTATGATTTTCATTTCTTAGTTTGACTGTTTATGTTGGAAAAAAATTACCTGTACTTCATGTCCCTATGGTTTAGTGTCCCACCATAATTCTGTAGGCACTGTTTTTCATAAGATCTATTAAAGACTTGCGTGTGGGGTGTTGTTATGTATGCCATCAAAATTAGAATTGAATAGCTCCAGAAAACCTGTTGTTTACAGTTCCTTCAATTATGTTTCTGCATTTAGTTCATCATTGTTGTACTAATGTTATTTGTCTCTTTAGTCTTTAGTCATTTCCTTATTATATTCGCAAATATGTGGTGACAGGTTGCAGGATGTAGTACACAGTGAGAAGCGTTTGTATCTGGTTTTTGAGTACCTTGACTTAGATCTAAAGAAACACATGGATTCATCTCCAGAATTTGCAAAAGATCCACGGCAAGTAAAAGTGTGTGACCTGCCCTTTCTTTTCTTTATAGATTTTTGAGCTTTTTGTGGCTAAATTTATAGTTATGATATGATGAGAGAGGGAGAGAGAGGGCAAGAAATACATTGTAGCTGTCAATTACCTGGTTCTCTCATCCTCTTTCTTTTCTTGGCATAAATTAAATAACGGAAATATAAGAGCCAATGATGATTAAATAACCTCATGGTATAATAACAAAACTATAGTATGTGAAAATGCAGGTCCATACATAGTATGCATGTCTCATGAATTTGTGATGAATTACCAATTACATGGATAGCAGTTATTGGTATGACTTTGTCCATAAAAGTTTCCTGTTTCTGAAGACAAGTGATGTGTACAATATGTTTGGCCTTTATAATTTTGACCTGGGCTGTTAAGTTCGTTTTAAAACTGAAGGTGCTAAAGTAGTATTCTCTATTCCTAAGGAACAATAAACTATGTCTATAAGTCAATTATTCTTATGTATTTTCAGTTCTGTATCATGTTTTTAAATATTATCAGAAATAAACTTTATTTTGTTTGTTCAAGTCATTACAGTATGAAAACAAGATGTTGTACTGACATGCATCTTTTTTATTTCATTAGATCTTATCTCCTTTACTCATCACCTATCTCCTCAATATTGAAGTATACGAGGACGAGCTGATTTTTAATTTTGTATTACTTTCCTCAGTTTGTCTTAACCTCCCCTTTTACTGTTTGTATGCTTGATCATGACCAAGTATTTCCATCTTATCATACACTATTAATTGAATATATTTCAGTTTAATTGTTGTTTCAGAACAAGATGAGCTAATTTAAACTTTCAAACGATGCTTTCTGCAGATGTTCCTTTACCAAATTCTATGTGGCATTGCTTACTGTCATTCTCATAGAGTTCTTCATAGAGATTTAAAACCACAGAATTTGTTGATAGATCGCAGCACTAATTCACTGAAGCTTGCAGATTTTGGACTGGCTAGGGCATTTGGAATTCCTGTTAGAACATTTACTCATGAGGTTTGTGTGCTATGTATTAGAGAAGAAATGACTCGTACACAATTTTAAGGGTGAATGTTTTGAACTCCAAACCTTAGTTACTGCTCTCTATAATGCTAAGATGCAACACATCTTGGAGACAGGATGGTAGTTTGTTATTTCTTGTCCTGATCTAAAATTCATTAGTATGAGTTTGCAGCTGGCCTTCTTCTTGTCTTACATTCTTTAATTATTCATGATTAAATTGGGGAGAAGATGGTAGAAAATTAAATAAGATGGTGTGGCCTTGTGAGAAGACTATAGAGGCTTGATTGTTTTTGCTTTATTAATAATCTGTCAATTTCAACTGTTTTTACTAGAAATAACTTCTGATAGTTGTCTGAGTTGTAAGAAGTAGATTTTCCTGAATTTTCTTCCACACTTTGCAAATTAACACAAGGAAATTGCCTCCTTGGACTCTGAAAGATTATTACCTTTTTCATATTATCTGTCTAACTTATATTCAGACTGTACCTTATTTATTTGTATTTTTTTTTTCATGAAACATTTAACTTGGTAGCATTAAATTCTTAATATTGGTAGAAAGAGTGATAGGTCCATTGTTCCTCTTGCTATTTCAGCTACATTAGTCTTCATTTATTTTTCTTCAAATGGAAATATTAAAATTTTATTACATTGTATGGGAGTAGATTCTCTCAAAATATAAATGTTGTGAAAAGTTATAATTGTAGATGGACATTAAAAACTTAAAATTATCTTTTATTTTGAGTTATAGTTTTGATATTGCTTGTAGGTGGTAACACTATGGTATAGAGCTCCTGAAATTTTGCTTGGATCCCCTCATTATTCTACCCCAGTCGATATTTGGTCAGTGGGATGCATATTTGCAGAAATGGTAGATCAACAACCTCTTTTCCCTGGGGACTCTGAGATTGATGAATTGTTTAAAATATTCAGGTGAATAATCTTTTTTTTTTCCTATATTTTCTATTGTTCTTTGGAAATAATTCTTTCTTATAGGCAAACTGAATATGTTGGGAAACCCCAACCTAGCACAATATGTGCCAACATTGGAAAATATGGAATAGTACTTTTGTAAATCATGGACAAGTATGAACAAATTTCTCGAAAAGCACAATTCTATTGTTTTGAAGTTTTGAGTTAAAAATGATATTATATTCTTTCATGTCGCTAGTTCGTGGTTCATTTGTTAATATATGTTATGTCATGTTATGTTTGGTCAATCGGAAAATCTAAGTGACGTAGTAGTGCAAAAATTCATGTTATACTTGGTCAGTTGAGAAGTTTAAACAGTGACTTTGAGGTGTGAAAATCCAAGTTATGCTTGGTTAATTGAGATATGCAGCAAGTTATGCATTTTTGTGTTGTGATTTGTGTTTCATTCATACATCTTTTTCTTGGGATTGTATGTGAGTTCTTGTAGGAGGGTCTCTATGATCATTTGCCTTGGTCATGAGGGTTTCTATGGTCTTTTGTCATGACCTTGATGGTTTTATAATAAGGAACATCTTGTTTATTAGTGGGATGATGGTTCACCATAGCTAGCTGCTAATTGATTATGTTCTAGTTGGGAGTAGCTTGTAAGGGTCCATGATCAAGTTCATGTATTTCCAGTGTTATCAAAAAATGGCCATGGCAGCCCCATGGTAAAAGTCGAAGGTGGAATTTTTGCTGGCTGCCATGACAAAGTGATAGCAAATGGGGTTTTGCATGGCAGTCGATTTGGCTGTTGCAGAATGGTGCCGCGGAGTGGTCATGGCCAAAATCTCGCTCCTGCAGCAGCCAGGAGCGAGAAGATGTTTAGGTCCTTGGAACCCAACACGACCCACAACTAACTAGGGTTTCTACTTTGAAAAATCTGATGTTTTGTTGTGTGTGTGGGTTTATAAGAGACCCAGTCCAATAGCAGCCAGAAAAAACCTACAACAGAAGTTGGATTATTTTACACTAGACCCAACCCAGCATATTTATCTTGCCCTTCTCCCTCACTGCAGATATAAGTCTACCGCTGTCGTCCAATTGCACTGTCATTGCTGCCATTGTTGCTGTTGTTGCTGCTGTCGCCATTGCTGTCACAGGCAACAAACTGCATGCACTAAAATCTGTTCTAAGTTGGCTTCTCGATATTGTGGCTCTTTCCAAATAGTAGAAAGAGTTGAAGCAGTGGCTTGTAGGCTCTAACTCCCACCAGTAGCATGAATTCACCTGGTTTTCCATGTGTCACTACTAAAAAAGGCAGTGGGGAACTAGAAGTGGAGAAGGATCTTCCTGTAGGAATGGATGTGGAAGTTATAGTAGTAGTGGAACCTGCTGCTATTTTGGCCACCAGAGTGGTGAACCTAGGTGGGGAGACCATTAAGCAGGTACTCATTCAATGGGAGGCAAAGCCAGTTGAAGAGGCCACATGGGAAAAGGAATTCAACATCGGATGCCAATTTCTTCAATTCAATCTTGAGGACAAGACTGATTCTCAAGCAGGAGGCAATGTTAGGAGCCCAAATAGACAATTGGGCTTAGATGCAGAGTTAGTGCAATAAAATCAGATGAGGCCTAGACCCATTGTGTGGAAAGTCTATTAGAGGAGAAATAAAAAGAATAGAGAATGATGAGGTGGCAGGGAGGTGGTGGCTGAAAGTGCAGTGCGTAAGAAGGTGGGCCAAGATCGGATATGAGAATTTTTTGGTCATATATTTGATGTGAGGAAGTTATAGGGGTATCTTTTGATAATTACGAAGTTTGTTAGAAATGGAGAATCTCTTTCTCTTGTATTTCCTTTTTCTGTTCATCAATAATGCAGTATTTCACTTCTATTATTTGTTCTTGAGTAATAGTAACTTTGTGTCTGTTCTGGTTCCTATTACTTTGCATTTGCTATCTTGTGAGTGAATGCACGAGCACAGGCACATTGTTAGTTTTGATGAGTAATTGCAGACTGTGTTTGAAGTTATTGATTGATGGCCTAAGAAAATGTTCCTATGTTTTTTTTTTTTTTTTTTTTTCATCACGTACATATTATTTAAGAAATCACTTTTGTGTTTGAAAAGCGTTTTTGAAGAACCCTAGATGCTTCCAGTTCTTCCAAGAATGCTTTTGCTGTACCATAATATAGTAACGTAGGTAATTACTAATTATCTACATAGGTGTAAATTGTTTGTACCTGCTATATCTCTTTTAATCAAAGCTTCCTTTAAATTATCATTGCATGATTTCTATCAAATCAATTAATTCATAGATTTAAACTTAATAGTGTAGAAACTGTTATATATGTATATTATAGGTATTGCAATCTATATAATGCAAACAATACATTCTTTTTGCTTCCAAACAGGCATGTAACAAATAAATAAACAAAGCTGCATAATGTATGCTTATATTTTGACACATCGTTCCTTGTATGAAGAATCTTGGGTACGCCAAATGAAGAAACATGGCCTGGAGTGACATCATTGCCTGATTTTAAATCAGCCTTTCCCAAGTGGCAGCCTAAGGTAATTAAATAGATTTTGTCTTTGCCTAATTTTGTCATTACTATAAAAAAAATTCGAATTTAATCTTATTTTGTGGTATGCAGGACCTAAAAACTGTGGTTCCAAATCTTGAGCCAGCCGGTCTTGATCTTCTTTCTGTAAGTGGAACATCATGTATATTATTTTTAAATAAATAAAAAAGTAATTTTTTGTCTCTATTATGCTGATAAAATGTGACTAAAAGTTATATATTTTGTCATTAGTGAGATGAAAGGACTATTTTTACTGTTGAGAAATGGCATAAAACAAAAAAAATGCATTTTTGAAGCAGTATTAGTAGTAAACATAAGTGTTAGATGATAATATTTTTCACTAGATATTCTTTTGTTACGGCTATGAATAAATTCTTTGGGATTTCATAAATCTTGACTATTCTTTGCCTTACCTAACTTGAAAGGGGGAGATACTAATGAATGGCCTCTGGATGGCTAACTTGATTTTTCTAATGTTGGTTGTCCCTTCTAATGATACCAACCAGCTTTACTTATCACCTGTATTGTGGGATTATTTGGTCACAATTTGTTCATGTCCAGTACTTTAACTTGTTGAAAGGTTCCGTGACATTTAAACTTCATCTTTATTCTTTTTCAATCCGTATTTTGACCTAGCTTTTTGATAGATATTAACTAGTATTTTTAGTTTGTCCTTTACACTGAAAAAATGCATATTTTTATATAGTTAAATTCATAATAAATAAAAATTTTGAATATATAAATTATATTGTAATTAAAACTTATAGTAGTAAATATGTTTAAATATATAAATTATATTTTAATTTATTATATACAACATAAATTGTTATGTTGCATTATTCTAAACTGTTGACAATTTATATAAATAAAATGAATGAAATTCAATTTAGGGATAGAGATAAACGAGGGTGGATTGAAAGAAATGGGTGGTCTTTTGAGATGATTGATTTTTGTTGTCTGTTTAGTTACGAGATAGCGTGTGAAATGTTATGTTATTAGCAAAAGAGAAGAGAAAAACTATGCTGAGATGTCTATTTGAGAGAATGGGGAGAATAAGAGTAGTCTCACTTTCTAATTTTTATTCTAATTCATAATAATATGGAAGTTTTATGTCCTTCCTCAAAATTGTTTTCATAGATTATTTTCTGGTGCTTACTTTAGTGCGTTTATGTGTATCCCAGCGGATGCTTCGCTTGGATCCCAGCAAAAGAATTACTGCCAGGAACGCTCTTGAGCATGAATACTTCAAAGACATTAAATTTGTTCCCTGATTTCCTATCTTCAAGGCTGGGGTGTCTATATTAGTATGTGTAGCATTTAGGCGTTTTGACGAAGAAATGTGATCCTTGCTTTTTACTTCAATGCTTTGGGACAGAATCAAATTTCATTTATTTGTTCTTACATATTTTACATTCAGCTTGAGTGTGATCTTATTACCTATTCCCCTTTTCATTGTTTTGGTCTCGGTACAATGCAACGAGCAAAATTTCAGTTTGCTTGATGTGTTACATACCTAAACCCTAAATTATTTCATAAACTTATAAATTAACTTATCTAAATTTAATGAATGAGATTAAAATTGACTTAATTAAATTTAGGTCATAATTGAAAAAAAGTAAAGTTTTTCCGTTTGCAAATGTTAGGCAAAGAAAATTCCCTCTCTTCCCGAGTCATAATAAGGATCTATGGTCTTATAATGGTTTCAATTATGTTAGGACCGATTCCAGTTTTGCATCTTACAAATATATATTCATTTTTGTGGTTGATTACATCCGTTTTTGTTTAGATTATATTACTACAACATAAGTTTGAGGTATCGCACATGTGAGAGACTATCATTAATTGTAGTAGACAATCACTTTAACATTAAGGTGAGAATAGTGAGAACAGATAATAAACCATAATTTTCGCTTAAGGAAATGTTTGGTAATAAAGGAATTTTGAAGGAGTCGTGTTGAGGCACCTAAAAAAATGGTAAATTTGAACAAAAATATCAACAAAATTTGAATGGTTGAAGAACCCATCTATTCATTCCACTTTGGCTAAGTAAAACTGACTGGTGTTGAGCTTATTCCCCTTGGAATTGTAACATAAACTATGTCCCTTTACCTTTGAATATAACAATCATCATGCTGTCCTGAATTTCCTCTACTTGTAACATGATTCATTTGTGGTTAACATCTTACTAGTATAGAGGATTCACATGTGAGTGATGATTTTAGCCAAGTATCAATAAGGAGTCTACTAGAATTGGTAAGTTTTGTTGAAGCAAGTGGGTTTGAGTATTAAATCGAGGCTATGCAAGAACTTAATGCTATCTGTAGCGTACTTTTTGGTAAAATAAAAATAAAAATAATATAATTATTTATTTGGTTTAATTAAATTATTTAAATGGGTTTAGAAAATAAAATAAAATAAAATATTTTGTTAAAGTAAAATCAAATATTTGTCTTCAACCCTATATTTCAAGTACCCACTAGACATATCTTAATGCCAACTTATACTACGATAAACTCAAATTTGATTGCTTCTTATTCCATCCTCAAACTGCACCTCTTTACCAACAAAGATCTTCTTCCCACAGCACATTTGCTTCGATCATCTTTAATACGAGCTTCATAGATATTTATCAAGCTCCATTTTAACGGGTTCAGAAATAGAAAAATATCTGGCTTAATTTTTTAAAACCAATTTAATAAGGTAAAAATCATATTAATCTATATATTATAATTTGATCATATCCCTAGTCAGTTGGTCTTGATAGTGTATAAAAATAAAAAAATATCTAATTCAATCTTATAAAATCGGTTGAAAAATGTAAAGATTATATTCATTTATATTTTATAATATTATTGAGTTGATGATAGTTTTCCTTACACCTTCTTATTTTCGGAGAAATTTTTTTAAAACATTATCTCGAGAGAAATTTTCATGTCCCATAGAATTAATACTGATACTGTATTGAAAATAGATAAGTATCTAATTTAACCTTACAAGATTAGTTCAGCAGTGAGAAGTATTATCAACTATATACTCTAATTTTTAGTCAATATAAAATTTCATCATATCTTCTTATTTTGAGAGAGATTTTTCATCACACCTTGAAAAAGATTTTCCATCGTATTGTTATAAAAATAGAATATTGCAAAATCACTCTTCCCTAGGATCCTCGAACGCTTGATATCCATGAATGCGATGCACAATTCTTTCTCCATATATATTGGCCCCAATGGTTACAGATCTGAAACTCCCCCATTGAATTGTTCCTTGCTCCATGAAAACTGCCATATTTCTACTTCACATATGTTGACAACTCTACAACTCATGACAGATAGTTAGTGTGAGAGGTTGAATTTTCTGAACCCATTTACATATACATAGGTGCTTTGTGACTCTTCTGAAATAATCAAACACACATCTCTCTTACTTTCATCTTATTATTAGCTCTCTTATTTCTTTTTCATCTTCTCTTATATCTTGTATTATTACTCTTATAGAGTTTATTACTAGTTATGAGTTCCTTATAAAAATTTGAGAAATTTCTATTATATTCTAACGCAACACATTACAACTATATCTTTAAGAACAATAATTATATACGTTTCATAAATCAAGTTTTGTTTATGATTTCCTTGTTAACATTTACATCACATACATGAAATTATTCATCACACTTCTCTAGAGAGGTATTTTTCATCATATTTATTCCATGTTCGTTGGATTAAATGTGGCGTAGGATGTTATTTTTTCATCCCATTCCTATTTCAAAATGGGATCAATGTTATTTTCTTCTGAGCTTAATCTTAAGAAAGCTGAAATATTAGTATTGTTAAGTTAGTTTATTAAATTGTAATAATTAATAAAATTATTTATTGAAGTTGCTATAAATGTATAAAATCACGATAGAAAATATTTATATGATATTTTTTTATATAAATTTTATTTTAATTTTAGGGTTAAATTCACTTTGATTTGTAACATCTTTTAGATTTTAAAATTATTTTTTAACTCTTGAAATTTTTAATTTGTAGATGAATTATTTTAATTACAAGTTTTTAGTGTCAATTATTATAATTTTTCATATTATGTATTATATTTTAGATCTTGTATTATCTTGAAATGTTTTCAACAAAGTTTAATATTATGTAAATATGATTAAAGAAAAAAAATGAAATAAATAAATATATATAATTAATAAGAATTAATAAAAAAGTTACTGTAATTAATATGACAATTAAAAGAAATAGTATAATATAGAAGAAGGAAAACCATAAAAGAAAAGATCAAATAAATAAGTCACTTACCTTATTTAAAAAGAGGAATAAATAATTTAATAAATATTTGAAGGATAAAAAGAGAATATAATATAAAATTTATATATAAGTTAGAAGTTAGTAATATTTTGAAAAATGTCACGTACTTAAAGAATAAGCTAATACAAAAGTTATGTTATCAAATACCTTTAATTAGATTAAACAAGTTTTTTAGTTAGTAGAACAAAATGCTAATTAAATTAAATAAATAAGTCTTGCCAGACAAGCATGCTTCCCTGTATGAAAATATTCAAATACATAATCAATTGAGAATAGATAGCCAAGTTAAAGTAAAAGCATTATTCAAATTTCATTATTACATAAAAATATCAAATTAATTGATGTTTTAAGTTTTCACCACTATATTAAATATTTTATTATTAATTTGTCTCCAACAAATTATATTAGTATTTATATTTACAACAAAGAAAAATAATGTATATGTTGAAAGAGTGAAATTATTTTAATAAATAACATTTACTATTGTTCTTAATCTGTACATATATATATATATATATAAAACTTAAAAACTTCAATCATTTTGTAGCAGAAATAGTAGAAAGTGAGAAGTGACAATAAACTAAAGGGACAAAAACATTAAACCAGATACTACCCACCATGCAACATTTGGGACCAATTCTCACCACAAACTAAGAATTTGTGTCTAATGAAATCTTATCCCCTCATAATTAAATACTATAATAGAATATCACAAATTTTCAATATTTCTCTTCAGTTTTAAATATTTCTATCTTAGATTCTTCTCATTTGCTCAAGAAAGAAATTTCTGATGTAACTCCACGTATTTTACTAGAATATAATTTCTTTTTTCATTTGGAACAAAATGAACACTCAATAACAAGTAATAATCACTATCAAAACAATACATCCTAAATTTTCCAGTTAATAGGAACAAATAATAACTACAAAAAACTGTTATTTCCAATTTTTTTATGAACTCATTGGATTTGATAATGAGTTTCATTTATAATCATTATGAGTACGTTTAGATGAATTTTTCCACAAGTTCTTTTAGAAAAAAAAATAAGAAAAAGGAGAAATTAACTATTTTGTAAGTAAAAATTATATTATGCATATAATAAAAATATAGGGAAATTATAATAAGAAATTCGTACAAGTTAGTTTTTACATAAATTATTTTGTACTTATAAAAAATAATTTTAATTTTTTTCTCTTATTTTCTTTTCTTAAAATTGATTAGGAAGAAACTTGTCCATACCTTCTATTATTACCCCGTAAAAAGCAATTATTACTAAAGACTATAATCATTCGCAAATCTCTGCTGGATCTGACATGAAACTTTATTTACCTAACCAAATAATCAATTCATGTATAATTCATTGTGTACTTTATTTATCATCGCCTTTTGGTATTTTTACTCAGAAAAATGGAACAAAACATTAAAAAAATGAGACTATAATATAATATTGTTAATTGAACTTAATATTTTTAAGGAATGAATAACTTCTTTTTATAACCGTTAACAATTAATACCAATGAAAAACTACATATTTATCAACGATCAATAACCAACATTTTTTTTAAGGTTTAATATTTTTTTTGGTTAACCTTTTTGAAATAGGAATGATAATTCGGGGACTTAGCAGTTTGATGAGTTTTAATGAAATCTATTTTTTTTTATATATATATATATATATATATATATATATATATATATATTTCTATCTATAAAACTTGAATTTGAGTTATTTATTAAGAAAAAATATATAAAAATGAACTCAAAATGCATATAAGTCAATTTGTACAAGTTGTTTTTATTATTTTTTTAAGATAATATTTAAATAATGTATAAATTTTCTTGTGAAAAAATTACATGAGATCTTGTTTTTTTTTCTTATAAATGTTTGTAAAAGAGTTTCATATAGAACATAAATATGTTTGAGTAAGTTTCTCAATAATTAATTTTTAAAAGAGAAAAAATATATTTTATTTTCACATAAGTTAAAGATTAGTTTATGTCTAAATTAATTTGTATAAATTTTTCTGTAATATTTATTTTATACATAAACTAAGTTTTTTCTTCTCTTAAAATGCTTCTGAAAAACTCTCCACATATATTATTATTTTGAGTAATTAAATTTGTTAATGAAAAAGGAAAATGGATTGAAAAATCCTTTTCGATGATATTCTTGTAAGATAGCTAAGTAGTTGTGTGCTAATTTGTGTAAAACCAAATAATCTAATCTTTATTAAAATAAAAAAGGTAAAAAGTTAAAAATAATCAATTATATCAAAACTAAATATGTATTAATCTATTAGATAAGTATTAAATGGTAAATTCATGTTTTCATAACATATTAATAATCGATTATGTGATCACTTAATTGATTATGTACCTAAAGTTATGTTTTGACATAACGCGCTAATAATAGATTACATTAGTGCTTCATCGACTATATGATTTATTTTCGGACTATTACTGCACGCAAATAATCAATTAGATATTTTGTTAATTAATTATTTGAATCAGTTGCAACAAATTTTTACTCTATAAAAAGATGTAAACTTTCTTCAATTAAAACATATATTTTAGAAACGATTAAAACATGAACAAAAAATCTGGTGGACATCAAGAAAACGTTTGTAATTTTGTAAAACATTTTGAAGAAAATCAAATTCAATAAAAGGATATAAACTTTCTTCAATTAAAACATATCTTTTAAAAAGGATTAAAGTATAAAAGGAAATTTTGTGGGCATGATAAGGAAAATGTTTTGAAATCAAATTCAAAGAAGAAGTTTATTGATTATAAAATACAGAATTCTAAACATAAGGTAAAATCGTTCTTGTTTTTCTCTTTGTGAATCTTTATCGATGTGAATTACACCAAATTAGTTTAAAATTTATAAGGATAAATATTTGTAAATGTTACGATTTATTTTTAAATATTGATTATAGGTTATTGTAATTAAGATTTGCATGTTAAGTTGTAATCTGGTTACCTAACAAGTTTTAATAAAAAATCTAAAGTTGTTTGATTAAATTAGATATAGATTCAAAAGAATTGAACCAATATAAATTTCTACCTTCTTCTCATTTTTTTCTTTATCTTAATATTTTTGTGATATTAATATTGTTTTAGTTCTTTTAAAATGATTGAAAAAGATTTTTAATAATTGATTAGATTAATAAAGATTTACAAACCCAATTCATCCATTTAGATGTGTTTAAACATTTACTTTTATTTTTTTTAAATTAGACTAAAACAACATTAATAAAAAGTAAGGATATATATATAACTCCTGAATGAACTCCTAAATGAATAAACAAGAGTAGAACACTATTGTGATTGATCAAATTCACACTTATTCTAATATATTTTGCAAGTTCTACAATGCAGGAATTCCTTAAAACTTTTCAGCAAACCATAGATAGAACGAAAATCCTCTATATTAATGAGATACTAACCTCAAAGCTTCTAAACCCTACCACATATCTCTGAACCATAGAATAATAATATTATGGTATCATAATTAACCACTAATTTTCCACCATGCATCGCAAATTCAGAATCAATTAAACCCACACTGGGACGAGAAATACGAAACCCCATCAGGGGTAGAAGAACAAGTTATTCCATTTGAATCAGGCAGAACCTGCTGAGGAACAAAGCAACCACCATAACCAGAATAACTCGCATCACTGGAACCCATCATGCTCATCACATCATCATGCGTTTGAGCCTTCTTTCTCTTCTTCTTCTCATACGCTATGCCTCTCGCCTTCGCCTGCGCGTCGCGAACTTCCCTAAGGTACAACCTCACCGCGCGTGTTCCGAACGGGTTCATCTCCGGCGCTCCGCCGTGCTCCTCGAAAGCCGCGCGCAGCCGCCCGATCAGCGCGTCGAGGCTGCCCCACGCCTGCTTCAAGGGGCACGCGCAGGGACCGGGCGGGTGGGAGTTTCCGAAGTACGCGCAGGTTTCGGCGTGCACCTTGGTTTTTCCGAACTGGTCGAGGTAGCGGAGGAATTCCAGCACGTGCGCGCCGCTGCAGCGCGAGAGGGTCAAGGGTGGACGGTGGTTTTTGAGGTACTGGCCGAAGGTGTTCCAGTCGCGTCGCTTCTGCGACTCGTACCTGCTCAGAGGAGGAGGGACGCACACTCGTTGCGATGGTAAAGGCAGTTCGTGATCTGTGTGTTGTCTCCGAGAGGAGTTGTGGTACCCCGACATGGCGGCAGCAGCGGCGGCGGCGGCCACGGCGGCGGACATGTTAAGCTTCTTCTTTTCTAGGGATTTTGATTCTAGGGTGGTAAGGAGTAGCACCTGTGGATGTGATGTTAGGGGATTGCACGTTCTCTTTTCCCTCTAGATTAGGGTTGGGACCAGGAGTGTGCGTGTGCGTGTGTTTTTAGTGCAAGATGTGTTTTATGTTTGGTGGAAGATATGTGTATATATAGAGTTGTGAAAAACGTCCACCTCAAGTTCGGATGAGGTGTAAATGAAAGAAAGAAAGAAAGAAATGTGATTATGAATAATATAAAAAGATAAGAAGAAAAGAAAAATGACAGAGAGAAAGTAATGAATGTGATAATTGATACTATGAATAAAAAAAGAAAAGAGGTGTAAATGAGATGGAATGTATATAATTTTTAGGGTTTATATGCAGAGGATGTATGTATTGTAGTGAGGTTGGGATATGGGGTCTTGGGGTACTGTAGTTCAGGTGGGTTTGGTTAGGATTGTCTAAAGCTATGGGTAGCTGGCTTGGAGAAGGCAATTGAAGTCGGTGATTTTGAAAAATGATTGGGTTCAGAATTCCTCCCCTATGGTCAAAGGGAAAGAGGTAGGAGTTTGGCATGATTTTGATAACATGGATGGATCCATCTAAGTGAGAAGATGGTGATGGTTGAAAATTTTGGTTTGTTAGCCAGGGATTTACTCAATCTAGTGGAGGAGAAAGGAGAGGGTGGGGGTATAGGGGTGGTATGAGGAAGAATTTATAAAACTTAAGCAATGGTGAGGGGAGAAGAATGGATTTAAGGGTGAAGATGAATGAGATATAGGGGGGGAGTAGGGGTAGGCAGGCTTTGTAGGTAGGTATAGGGAGACAAAAGAGGGGTCCATGCATTAGAGAAGCAAGTGATGGCAGTTTGAATATCACTTCAAAACGTCCATCTCAAATCTCAATCATTGATTGCCCTTGTTTCTTTCCCTTACTCCATGGCTTTAAGGTGGAGAACAAAACAAAAGTGGGGAAATTGTTTAGGCCTACCTCTTTAAGTAAAGTAACTACAATTTACATCATCATACTATCCACGTATTTCTCCTTTTGCACTTCACTCACTTAATCCAAGACAACATTTGCGTCCAACATTTTCTTGTCTAGATTCTAGTTTCCAATATGACTTTGCTACACATAAAACTTCTTCAATTTTTGTAATTCTCTTAACTGAATATATTTTGAAAATCTATATTTTTTATCAGATAATCTTTAAAGGTTAAATGTATTAAATAAGTGTAAATGAAGTGATAAACATGCATATACAGAGTATTGGTCCAAATACATTAGTAAAAGAAAAAAAAGTCTTTACTGCCATAAAACTAACGTTGAATATATATATATATATATATATATATATATATATATATATATATATATATATATATATATATATAATAATCAAATAATAAACGTTTATAAATATTAATAAAATTTAATTTTTTTATTTTTTATCTTTCATCTTTTTATTTATAATAAATATTATCTTAATTTTTTTACATAATTTTTAATTTTTATCTTCTTTTTTTCTCTCTTTTTCTATTTATCTTCTCCCTTTCTACCTTTTCACTTCCCTACATCAATTTTTTTAGATTATAGACTCTATTTTTTTATTTCATATTTCTACTTTTTTTCTTATCATTCATTTACATTGTTCTTTTTCCATAACAAAAAGAGAAGTGAAAAACAAAATAAACTAACAAATAGTTTGATTAAATATAAAATTATAATTACAATTACCAATATTCATCATGATAGTAAAATTTGTGGCTAATTTATATAGATCCACGTGTGGCCACGAAAAATACCTATCGAAAAAACTAAGAGAAATTGTAAAGTTTACGTACGCCATAAAGATATGTCAAATTAAGTAAATTTAGCATTGTCACTGATACCAACAAAACCAATTTCCATGAACACCAACATGAATATCATTATAATCTCTACAAACATTTGCGACATCCAAGGACTCTATATTTATCATTATCTTATACACATTTTTTAACAATCAAATCAGATGTCAAACCAAAACATAAATCCGTCCACAAAACCTATAAATGGCAATAGGCACGACAATGGAAGGAGGCAATAAAGGAAACATAGAAAAAAGAATTACAGTTGTAATAGAGGAAGAAGATCTAGAATTAAAATAGAGGCAATGGGTGTAAACAACAACTAGAAGAGAGAATTGTTTAATGTGAAAGAAGAAGCAACATACAATGGGAAGAGGAAGAAGAAGAAAACATAACACAAAGGAATTAAATTTGATTTTTTATCCCTAAAACACTTACCATATTGATTATAAATGGAACAAACATAAAAAGTGATTTACAATATAAGTTATAAAGGGAACAAACATAATAAGTGACTTACTATATCAGATATAAAAAAAATCGTCATAGTAATAATTTAGGGTCAAGTATTACAAAAATGTTATTATCACACTTATTATGTTAGTTCCCTTTACAATCGATATAATAAGTATCTTATTATGTCAATTCCTTTTACAACCAATATATTAAGTGTTCAAATATTTTAAAATTGTCACATTTTCACTTACTATGATGGATATATTATAGCCTGCCATATCATTAAATATTAATTATTTATTCATATTTAAAGACGCAATCATCACAACTATAAATAACACAAACACACACAAAGTAAGTTATTATTTAAATAATTTACAAAAATTTGAAAATAATCAAATATCACCATTCCTCGTCCATACATGTATTTGATATAACTAAAATACTATATATTATGATTATAGGCTAGCAAAGATTCATCTTTATTTGGGAAATCCCACATGAAAGCTCTAGGATCTCCATGCAAAAACCTATTTTTTCCATGCAATTAAGAAAATGGATAATTTTTTTTAGTAAACTTCTAATTAGATAAAAATAATTTACTTTTTACCAAGATCGTTAAGGTATACTTGGATCTAAAATAAAAGATGAGCATGGGATAAGAAATCTTAGAGAAAGAAGAAAGAGAATTTAAGTTTTAAAGAGACAATGACTTTATATAAAATGAAGATTGAAAGGTTAAATTTTTTTATATATAATGTTTCTAACTTAACTAATAAAATATTCATTCTCCATCTAATTAAATCATTTCTATTCATAGATCAAATAAAATTAGTCTTTACATTGAAAAATTTTATAACTTATTCTTATCACCTAGCCTCCTTTATCTAATGGCTGAATATACTTTCTTTTGTATCATGAGAGAAATTTCCTTTTTCATATTGGAAATAAAGATAATTGTTAGATATTGTTTAGATATAGTTTGATATTGTTAAGATATTGTTAGATATTGTTAACCACAATATCAAACAATATCTTCTGTTTACTTTCGGTTATTCTTTTAATTGTACCTCTCTATTATAAATAGATTACCCTATGTGTGATTTATACACAAGGGAGATTAATTTCAAACCATATTTCCTCTATATTCAACATGGTATTTAGAGCTTAAGGTTATCTTGAATTTTTTTTTCGCCCTTTGTCCACTGCTGGAGCCGCCCCACCGTTGCTAGAGTCGTTCCACCGCTGCTGGTAAACTGATCCTCCACATCAGAAAAGAATTATCTTTGTTACTGAATTTTATTTGGTAGTGCGAAAGTGCATGTCTAGGAAAGTTCTAGCAAGGAAAGACTTGGTATTTAAGTGTGTCCATTAGTGACCTACCTCTCTTTCCTGGGAACTTACCTGGTGTACTGGTTCACATTGCTGTCATCGCTTCCGCTGGAGCAGTCACCGAATCCCTCGCTGCCGGAGAATTCACCGGAGTTTCATATTTTTTTACCGATGACATATGATTTTGCTTGTCTCGGTCAGGTGACCACCGTGCCGTTGAGATCACCACTATTGGAGTTAGTTGTCCCATTGTCTCCTGCGCAGTTTAGTATTGGCGAACTTATTTTGGATTTGTGCTTCGTGGGTTAACTAGATTACTTTGGATTGTTTTAGGGTTTGTTATCCCGCTCTTCATGACTTCTTTCACTTCTACTATTTCTAATTTTGTTAATGATTCTTTTGTGTTGACATCCCATCGTGATGACCAGATTCGCCCTCGCAAACATGGAAAAAGGCGTCCTAAGTGTGAACATTGTGGCAAGTTAGGTCACAATATTAACAAGTGTTATACATTACATGATCGTCTTCCTCGATCTGCTGCAGTTGTTTAGACCAATCTTTCCCCACCTTTATCTGCTGGGGATCCTGCTTCTTCTTTTGCATCCGACATGCCTGTTATGTTCAACAAATTTCTTGAATGGTATAAGGATCAACAGTCTTCTAGTTCCACTATATCTGTCACACATACAAATACATATTTTGCTGGTCTGACCCAATCATTTTCTCCTGGTCCTTGGGTTTTTGATTCAGGAGCCATTGATCATATTACTAGTAACAAATCTTTGTTCTCCTCTTTATCCTCTCCTAATCATTTACCTTTTGTTACACTGGCTGATGACTCTAAAGTATCATCTCATGGTGTTGGAATGGTTAAACTTTTTCCTTCTTTAACCATTGATAATTTTCTTTATGTCCCTGGGTCTCCTTTTAACCTGTTGTCCATCAATCGTCTAACTCGTTCTCTTGATTGTGTTGTTACTTTTACCAACAATTCTGTGTGTTTACACGATCGGAGTTCGAAACAGGTGATTGACACAAGATGTGAGTCTCATGGTCTTTATTATCTCCGTCCCTCTACACATGTTAGTACAGTTATGGAGTCTCCCTCTCTTCTTCATGCTCAGTTAGGTCATCCAAGTCTTGCCAAGTTACAAAAATTTGTCCCTGCCTTGTCCAACTTATCTAGTTTGGCGTGTGAGTCATGTCAATTAGGCAAGCATAATCGTACTTCCTTTCCTTGTAGTTTCACACGTGGTGCTTTGTCCCCTTTTGTCGTGGTTCACTCTGACATTTGGGAACCTAACCGCGCTAAGTCTACTTTAGGTTTTCAATACTTTGTTACTTTCATT